CTTTCCCAGCACCACTTGCTGGAGAGACTGTCTTTTTCTCCATTGTATATTCTTGCCTCCTTTGTCATAGGTTAATTGACCACAAGTGCATGGGTGTTTTTTCTGGGCTCTCTGTCCTGTTCCATTGATTTATTTGTCTGTTTTTGTGCCAGTATTCTATTGTTTTGATTACTGTAGCTTTGTAGTATAGTATGACATCAGGGAGTGTGATTTCTTCAGGTCTGTTTTCTTTCTTAAGAATGTTTTGGCTATTCAGGGTCTTTTGTGCTTCCATTAAAATTTTAACATTTTTTGTTCCACTTCTGTGAAGAATGTCATTGGTAATTTGATAAGGATTTCATTGAATCTGCACATTGCCTTGGGTAGTATGGCCATTTTAACAGTATTGATTTTTCCAATCTAAGAAGACGGTATATTTTTCCATCTGTTTGTGTTGTCTTCAGTTTTTTTCATCAGTGTCTTATAGTCAGAGTACAGGTCCTTTGTCTCCTTAAGTAGCTTTATTCCTAGGTATTTTATTCTTTTTGATGTGATAGTAAATGGGGCTGGTTCATTAATTTCTTTTTCTGTGATTTCATTGTTAGTGTATAGAAACGCAGCTGATTTCTGTATATTAATTTTGTGTCCTACAACTTTACCAAATTCATTGATGAGCTCTAGTAGTTTTCTGGTTGCTTCTTTAGGGTTTTCTATATATAGTATTATGTCATCTGCAAATAATGACAGTTTTACTTCTTTTCCAATGTGAATTCTTTTTATTTCTTTTTCTTCTATGATTGCTATGTCTATGACTTCCAAAACTTTGTTGAATAAAAGTGGTGAGAATTATTCCTGATCTTAGACAAAATGCTTTTAGCTTTTCACCATTAAGTATGGTGTTAGCTATGGGTTTGTCATATATGTCCTTTGTTACGTTGAGATATATTCCCTCTGTGTCCACTTTCTGGAGAGTTTTTATCCTAAATAGATGTTGAATTTTATCAAAAGCTTTTTCTGCATTGATTGAGATGATCACATGGTTTTTATCCTTCCTTTTGTTAATGTGGTGTATCACATTGATTAATTTGCAGATATTGAAAAATCCTTGCATCCCTGGGATAAATTCCACTTGATCATAGTGTATGATCCTTGTAATACATTGTTGGAGTTGATTTGCTAGTGTCTTGTTGAGAATTTTTGTATCTATATTCATTCGTGATATTGGCCTGTAATTTTCTTTTTTTGTGATATCTTTGTTTTGGTATTAAGGTATTGGTTCTTCTTTGACCTTTGAGCATAAGGTCGCAGACTTTTGTACTTTCTTCCCTACTGTAAGCATTTAAAGCTTTAAATTCCCTCTAAATAATGCTTTTGCTGCATACTACATTATTGATATGTTGTATTTTCATTATCATTCAGTTTGAAATATTTTAAATTTCTTTTATGATTGCTTCTTTGACTCCAGGATTATATTAGAAGTTGTTTAATTTTTGAATATTTAAGGATTCTTCAGATAACTTTCTATTATTACTTTCTAATTCAGTTCCATTGTGGTCAAAAAATATACTTTCTATGAATTTGATCCTTTTACATTTGTTGAGAATTGGTTTACTGCCTAAGATATGGTCTTTCTTGGTAAATACCCCATGTGCATTTGAATGTTTATTCTTCAGTTGTTGTTAGTAATGTTCTATAAATGTCACTCAGATTAAAGGTAGTTGATAATGTTCAGATCATCTTTGTCTTTATTTTTTGTCTAGTTGATTTGTCATTTCCTTAGAGGGTTGTTGAAAGTCTTCACAACTATGATTGTGGAGTTATTTCTACCTTTAATTCTGTGAATTTTTGCTTCTTGTATTTTGCTTGTTATTTGCTTCTTGTATGTAAGCTCTGTTATTAGGTAGATAGGCAGTTGTAATTGTCATGTCTTCCATTACATTGACCTTTTTATCATTAAGAAATATCCCTCTTTATCAGTGAGGGGAGGGTGTGGTAGAGTGCATGCTTAACATGCATGAAGTCCTGAGTTCAATCCCCAGTACCTCTTCTAAAAATAAATAAATAAATAAACCTAATTACCCATTCCCTAAAAAAGAAAGAAACAGAAGAACTTAAAAAAAGTAAAAGGAAAAATAAACAAACAAAAAAAAATTTAAAAAAAAGAAATATCCCTCTTAAATTCTGGTACTACACTTTGTCTTGAAGTCTACTATGTATGATATTAATATAGACATCCTAGCCTTCTTATATTTCCTCTCTGTTTGCTATATCTTTTTCCATCCTTTCATTTTCAAACTATCTATGTATTTATATTTAAAATGTGGAGACAGCATATAGTTTCACTTTTTTATCCATTCTGACAACTTCTGCCTATCTAATTGGGGTGAGTAGTCAGTTTTCATTTAATATAAATATTTGGACTCAATTGCCGTTTTACTAGTTATTTCTTGTGTACTTCAGCTTTTTCTTTCTTGTCTTTGTATTATTTTATTGTGGTTACTCTAGAAATTACGTTATACATTTTTTAGTGTTTCATACTCTCCTGAGAGTTAATATTGTAATACTTCTTATAAAATGTAAGAATATTGAACACATCTCCCTTATCCTTTATGTTGTATCTGTCACATATATTACATCTGTATATAGTGTAAACCCCAAAGCATAGTAATTTTTGCTTTAAGTACCCATATTCATTTTAAGGAAATTTACAGGGAAAAAAATTCTGTTAACTATATATTTACCAGTTTTGGTACTCTCATTTCTTCCTCAAGGCTTTCTAATTAAAACTCAAGGAGGAACTCCTGTAGTAGTTCTTAACTGGAGTGATTTTACTTCCAAGGGGACATTTAGTAGTTTCTGGAAAAATTTTTAGTTGTTACAACTATGATAGGGATGGGATGCTGCTGGCATCTGGTGGATTAAGGCCAGGAATACTGCTGAACATTGAACAGTGCTAAGAACAACAGAGAATTATTTAGCCCAAAATGTTGGTGCCAAGATTGAGAAATTGGTTTATGGAGAAAGTTCTGGAAATGTTAGTGCCTGGATTAAGAAAGTCTGGTTTATGGAAAGAGTAAAATACACTTTAACATGCAACTTTTAGGTTTTATTACGTCGCTTATATGATTTATTGGAATTTAATAAATATGACCCTTTGCTTCTGACTAGCAAAGAAAAGAGATACTTATCTGATGACTTGTTTTCTTGGAGCGGTTTGTAGTTTGTTAGTTGAACTACTGTAACTAACTTCTTGCAAATAGGAAGAAAAGAAATATACAGTTGACTCTTGAACAACATAGGTGCTAGGGGTGCTGAGGCTCTGTGTGGTCAGAAACCCGAGTATAACTTATAATCAGCCCTCCGTATCCATGTTTCCTCCTTCCGCCAACCCTGGATCGTGTACTACTGTAGTATTTACTGTTGAAAAAAATCTGTACGTAAAGTGAACCCACTGCAGTTCAAACCCATGTTGTTCAAGGATCAATTTATGCTTTTGAACTGACTTCTGTGTAGTCCTGCTAGCTGGGTTACTTTAATGAAAGTACCTTGAGCTATAAATAAGACTTTCCCCCTACTTCTTCACGGAAGAATAGTCTGCAGTCAGCATTCTTTATGAACTAATAATGACCCCCCTTATATCCTTTTTATTTGAGAGGAGCAGGAATAGTTTAAAGTATTTTTTACTTTTCATTTTTTTCATATTGATTCCAACAGAGTTAGGGGTAGGAAGTTTATTTGTCCATCAGATTTTTTGAATCCACAAATAATATAGTTTGCTTTCATGGTGAGATTATCTTGTCTCATATAACCAAAATATTTTAAAAGCAACAACTTAGAATTAGAGTTCCTATTTTAAGGGCAAGTGCAAAATATTATTAAGATGGAACAATAAAGTCCTACTGTATAGCACAGGGAACTATATTCAATACCTTGTAATGGCCTATAATGAAAAAGAATATGAAAAGGAATATTTATAGATAGATCAATATGTATAAATGAATCACTGCTATACACCAGAAATTAACACAACATTGTAAGTCGACTATACTTCAATTAAAAAAAAAGATGTAACTAGTTTTAGAGTTCAGAGGAAATGCCTTATACAAAAGGAGAAAGATATAAATGTTTGCTATTAGAATAAAGGAATTACCCAGCTGGAAAAAAGATGACAAATATAAACAAATACCACTTCTTTTTTGTATAATAGGTTGGACAGCACTGCATGAAGCTAGTGTAGGAGGATTTTATCAAGTAGCAAATGAACTATTAAAAGGTGGAGCAGATGTAAATATCAGAGGAATGTACCAGATCACTCCCCTACAAGATGCTGTGATGAATGGACATTATAAGGTACTGTGATTCTTTTGTTTGCAGAGCAAACACTACATTGTGCAAGTATTAAAAACAAGATTATACTGTATAGCACAGGGAAATATATACAAGATCTTATGGTAGCTAACAGAGAAAAAAATGTGACAATATATATATGTTCATGTATAACTGAAAAACTGTGCTCTACACTGGAATTTGACACAACATTGTAAAATGATTATAAATCAATAAAAAAATGTTAAAAAAAATCTCTGGGACCAAGCAATAGAAAAGCAGATAGGAATTCAGTTTTGGTTTATTCTGCTAATCAATACTCAGAATTTATAATAAAATTTTACGTGTGATGGGTTGGTTGTGCTTAGTATGGTAGATGCCATTTTACACGTTACTTTTAATAAATACAGAATGTATTTTTGTTACACATAGTATTTTTTTAAACTTCTTTAAGACT